TCCCTTTACAGGCTGACTTTTTGTGGGTCCTATCAACTTCCACTTTCATATTTAATCCAAACAATTTAAACATTCGAGCCACGGCGGGGGGGGGGGGGGGGGGGAGAGGACGACGAGATCACATTGAAAAGGTTTGTCAAACAAGTTATCTTCATGACATGACCATAATAATAATCAATTATGGCGGATGTAACTACTTGGTGAGATATTTAAGGGATCTATTGGTAGCATTTATTCAGAAAATCCAGAGTTTGATTCCTTTATTATATGAAGAGTGGGTGAGTCGCCTCTGGAGAAAAACAAAAGGTTTAGTCACTCAGATGAGAGATGAAGGTTTGTAAGAGAAAGTTTGTGGAAAGTGTTTGGGGAGAGGAAGCTGATTGCTTTCACAACAAATACAGAAAAGGTACAACCTTGCTATCTAAAATCTTTCTTTCTTTCTTTCTTTCTTTCTTTCTTTCTTTCTTTCTTTCTTTCTTTCTTTCTTTCTTTCTTTCTTTCTTTCCTTTTTTTCTGCCGCATCCATCCATTGATGACATTCGAAAAAGCACTTTACAACTACAGTGGAAATAATCACCGGAAGGGTAAATGCAAGAACTATGACTCCTTCTCAGCCGTGACACCTACCCGCATCCTACGAGATTTTTAAAAAAGGAAGAAGGAAAAGGAATGACACCGGAATGACTTAGTCCAGAGCAACCCATTTCAGAAAAGTGGCATCTGAACAACAAGCGCCTGTTTACACCTTCGAGGTGAAACGCGTGCAGAGAAACACACTATCGCCCCACCTTTTTCTCAGCCATGATTATCCACCAAGTTTACCTAATTAATGCTTATTAGCCAACGGGGGGATCCCCCCTCCTATGTCTTTGATTAGGCTTGCAATTATTGAACCAATCTGGCTTCTACATACTACGTCCCCCACCCTTTCCAGACCCATGTCTATACACATATCCACACACATATCCACACATACGATTTGGAGCACACCCTGTATAACTCTTCCCCCAAAAAAGCTATGAAATAGCAGGATTAATCCATGCTGTTCAATTCCCCACAATATACAATTCATGACAAGAGTTAGATAATACATCAGATACTTTGTCAGCTGGACCACCAGACCCTTTTGCCCATTTGTTTAGCTTTGGCAAATGATGCAAGGCTGGGAATCTATGTTGGAATGTATAAGATTTCATACATATATGAATATGAATATATATATATATATATATATATATATATATATATATACACACACACACACACACACACACTACACACACA